GAAAGAGTAACAAAAATATATACAGGATAAAATTTATTAAGAGATGTAAAGAACACAATTTTTATACAATTTTCAAAAGTTTATAAGCATTAAAGAATTAAAGGACTACAAAGTTGGTGATACGCAAGGGTTTGAAGACTCGATTGTCAATAGAATGAATGCATTCCAATATAATAATCCCAGCAGCTTGGTTTTTTTACCATGACAAGCTGAATTAATATGTATATGGAGAAAAAAGGCACAAGGTAGCGAAATCACATTTTATAAATAACTGAGTAAGAGAGACTTTCCCTATCAGATATAAAAATTTGTTATAAAGTCAAATTAATGAACGAAAATTTAGAAAAATTGTTTTTGACCAGAACAGATAAATCAGAATTAAACTCAGACATAAATGAAAACTCTGTATGTGAAAAGATGGACTATTTGATAAATGATGATTACACACTAAGTTATCTACATTAGAACAAAAATTAAATAGAACATTTACTTCACAGTGTACACAAATATCAATGTTCTGCAGATTAAATTTGAAAATCAAAAAACACATTTGAAAGATAAAATTTATTAAGAGATGTAAAGAACACAATTTTTATAAAATTTTCAAGTTTACGAGCATTAAAGAGTACATGGGATTACTAAAGAACTCCAACAAATTAATAATAGAAAAACAACCCAGCCAGTAGGAAAAAAATAGCAAAAGACACAAATACACATTTTATAGAAAAGGATAAAAAATAAATGCTCAATATCCATGAAAATATGCTCAACTTCAATAGTAATTAGAATTACAAATTAAAGCCACAATGAAGTCATCGTTTTATGGTCATTAAATTTACAAAAATATCAAACATCTGACAATATCAAGTTTTGAAAGGAATGCAGAGTGATAGAGCTGTAACACATGACTCGCAGGCGTATAACAGATAACACAACTTGAGGAGAAAATTGTAACCGCCTGTGAAAGAAAACATGTAAACAGGTGTACATAGAAGACTTTCTTTTAGGATGTCTGCAGCAACACTTAGCAATATCAAAATCTTGAATAACACAAATGATGACTGACTGAACAGATACATAATCTGTGGTATAGTCAAAATGGAATCACATACATCAAAGAAATGATGGGACCAGAGAAACATGCAGCATCATAAATCTTAGACAGTTACCATCATGGATAAAAGTAAGATTCAGAAAACTATGTCTTATGTAATATAATTTTAATGAAGGTATGTAATCTGACAATGCTAAACATTATGTTTTAAGGATATATACATATGTAGTTAAACTATTTTTAATTATGATTGACAACACATTCAGTGCTGAGATTACCTCTGGGAAGAGGCAAAGCAATGAGATCAGGGAAGTATAGCATACACAGGTATTTTCCATTACATAATACGAAACAAACTTTATAAATAAACTGTATATATTATCGGTATACCTGAAATAATACATAATAAAATTTTAAAATAAGAAAAGTTCAAATCCTTTTTACTTAAAAAGCTCTTACAAAGCAAGGATTATGTTCCATATTATTATGGCAGAAATTCAATCTTTTCCAAGTTTGTGATGTTCAGGGATAGGCTACAAACCGAGAAATAGCTATTTCAAAAACAAAATTCTGTTGTACCAAAACAAATCATTAGTAAGTTTATAATTAAAAGTATTTTGTTGAAGTCAACTTTTAGAGAACATGTTTCTTTGCAAATCAACACATTTCTTTATCCGTATCTTCACTATCATGAAGACAGAATAAGAAGTTTTATTTACTATTTGAAGAATGGCAAAAATGCATATAATAACTACTGACCTGAAGCACGAAAACGTGTTTACAACTTGGGTTAGTATGGTTTCTTATCCTTCAATCGAGAACTAAAATCTGTTTTCATCATCAAACATCCCATATGGTTTCACCCCAACGTGTGAATACATCCAACATCCCATCCAACAAAACTACTCATATGTAGTGTCTGTAACCAAATACTATATCATCTCCCATTTAAATATCCTGACCTACAAATTCATGTACACGGACCTGAGAAACAGAATAATCTTACAGACAAAATGCATGATGCAGCTGCAGGAAGCTGCTGTGTGGCAACATTAAAATTTACGAATTAAATTAAAATTTATGAATCACTGCTTTAGCTCCAGAAATTTGTTCTGAATATTAACAAAACTGCTTTCTCATTAATGAAGATATAAGTAAATTTTCAAAGGTACCTTGTTTATCAACTTTAAAAAGAAAAAAACTCTTCAAAAGTCTCATTTTAATGTAATCGAAGGGAAAAAATTGCAAGGTGACTAAGTTTTTTTTTACTTGTAATAACTATCTGTATCTTTGCCTTTCAATCAATAAAAAAGGGCATCCCTAGAGAATCCACTGAATTAACTAAATCATCCATTTTAGAATTTACAGCCTCTTTGTTGCATCAGAATTACAAACATATGTTTAGTATGGCTGACACATTCTTATGATACCTATAGTTAACTTCTTACTCCAGAGTTTTTTCATGGCATTTTTCATCTCCAAATTTCTCAGGCTGTATATTAAAGGATTCAACATGGGAGTGATAACCGCATAAACCACAGTTACATATTTATCAATAGGAAAGTTGGAAACAGGTCTAACATACATGAAAATACAGGGAATAAAAAAGAAGAGAACCACCGTGACGTGGGAACTGCAGGTAGACAGAGCTTTGCACCTCCCTTCCTGACTGTGACTTTTAAGGGAATTTAGGATGACTCTGTAGGAGATTAGAAGAAAAATAAAGATAACAATACACATTGCACCACCATTGGCAACAACCGTGAGGCCTACAAAGTAGGTGTCAGTGCAGGCGAGTTCCAACAATGGGAACATGTCACAGAAGAAGTGGTCAATGACATTGGGACCACAGAAGGGGAGGCTGTACACAACGAGAATTTGAAATACAGTATGCATAAAACCTCCAACCCAGGCCACCACCAACAGCACGATGCAAACCTGTCTATTCATGATGGTTAGATAATGCAGTGGCTTACAGATAGCCAGATGATCGTAGGCCATCATCACCAGTAGGAAGATCTCAGAACCACCAAATACGTGGTCCAGAAAGAGCTGTCCCATGCAAGCTGAGA